AAATAAGCAAAAAAAAAAGGTAAGTACATATGTACATATGTATATACGTATACAAATATGCATATTTATTTGTATTAAATGTGAATACTAGCTATTTACTAAATTTGTTCAATAATTTGATACGTATTGATTATAATATAAATTATTATAATACAATTTTGCAGGAATTAGATTTAGACAAACATGAAGAAAATACCGAATGATCTAACAATTACAAGAACAATAATTGAGTTTCAAGTGTTTCATCTTTATCTGCACATGATAAAGAAATTGCCAAAAACGTGTTAACAATTAGAAATACATATCACTGTAATATGTATAATCATTCCTGCCTTAATAAAGAAAATCACAAAAATTTGTATATCGAGATTACATTTATGATGCTTTTGATCTAGGCATCCAAGATGATATTAGTATATTGATATTTACAGTAATATATTACTGTAAATTATATTGATTATAAACTTTATTTATATACCGACATACTTTTAGAACAAAGGGCTAGCTACAGTCAAAAATTCTCCAACACATCCTCTTTTTTCTATGCTAGTTTATCATCCAAAAAGCTACGCTCAAAATTACAACCACCACCATCTACATCACCACAAATGCTACTAGTTTTATCATCTTTGCTATCACCACAAGCGCAACCACTGTCACCAGATATACAAATATCACAACAATCACTACAAGCACAACTTATACAACTACAACAATCACCACCTCAAGTACAACAATTACCACAAGCACAACTTATGCAACTACTACCACCGCAAGTACAACTATCACAACAATCACCATATCAAGTACAACAATCACCACAAGCACAACTTATACAACCACCATCACAAGTACAACTACTACAACAATTACTACCACTATTGCAAGTACAACAATCATCACAAATGCAACAATCGCCACCACCATCACAAGACAACTATTACAACCATTACCACAAGAGCATTCTCAATTGATTTTATCACCATTTTCATTACAACAATCATTTTTATCATCAATACCAATACCACAATACAATTGGGCTTTTAGAGCTCAACCATTTCAATCGTATCAACCAACTTTATATAATCTGTATCAAACATTGCCTTATATTTCAACACAGTCTTATGCTATTCAATCTAATCTATATGTCTTTTCTACTTTACCTAC